CCTGGCCAACAGAGCATCTTGTCTCAAAAAAAAAAAAATTGGACACCTCTCATTCCTTGATTACAGACCCCTCAGAACCCCAGATTCAAACCTTAGAACACAGACTCTCAAATAATGCAGAGAGTTTATGCTCTGAACATAGACCCAGAAACTATTCAGAGACCTCACACTCTGAACACTGATCTCCATGTACCTCAGATTCAAACCTAGGGACACAGGCCTCAAAGAATTCAGAGAACATGCACACATAACACATACCTCCAAACCCCCCACACTCAAACTTGAGAGACTAAAAATTTCAGACCCTTCTCCCTAAACAGAGACCCCTCAAATATCTCAGATTTAAACCTTTATCTGCCAGAGACTCACAGTACCTTATACTCACACCTTACAACACAGACCCCTAAAGCTTTCAGAGACCTTTCTCTGCAAACACAGACCCCCAAAATGTCTCAGATTCAAACCTTGAAATGCAGATTCTCAAAGAGATCATAGACCTCACACCCTGAATATAAACGTCTAAATAACTTAGACAAAAAACTTGGAACCCAGATCTTAAAAGATTTCAAGGACCCCATTCTTTGAATGCAGAGCAAAAATATGTCTCAAACTTGGAAACAAAGCCTAAAACTTCAGACTTGACCTGTTGATCACAGACCCCCCCAGTTACCTCCAATTCAAACCTTACCACACAGATCCTGAAAACTTTCAGACCTTACACTCTGAACACAGAACCACCAGTTGCCTCAGACTTTTGTACTGATCCTGAAAGATTTCAGAGAACATAAGTATACACATCTAAGTTATCTCAGACTCAAAATGTAGAACATACTCCCTTATAGATATCAGAGGCCTCACACCCTGAACATAGACTTCCAAACACCTCAGGCAAAAAACTGGGAGCAAAGACCTTGAAAGAATCCACAGACCTCACTTCTTGAACACAGACCCCAAATATTATACCTGAGACCCAAATGTGGACTTAGACCCAGCAAACGTTCAAAGACCATATGTCCTGAATACAAACTTCCTAATCTTTAAGACTAAAACCTTGGAACAGAAACTGAAAATTTCAAAGCCTTTAGAACTCTGAATATGGAGCCCCAGATAACTCGGGATGAATCTTTGGGACACAGATCCTCTAAAAGTGCAGAGACCTTGCACCATGAATTCAGACCTCCAAATATGTGAAACAAACTTTTGAAAACAGTCCCCCATAGATTGCAGAGACATCCCACCCTGAACAGAGATCCCCAAATACCTCAGACTCAAACAAAGATACCGAAATATTTGAGAGGCCTTACATCCTGAACATAGATCCACAATGACTTCAGATTAAAATCTTATAAAACCAATCCTCAAAGACTTCAGAGACCTCACACTTGTGAACACAGATCGCCAAATACTATAGCTCAGAGGTCAAACCTTGAGTCACAGACCTTAAAGAGTTCAGAGAACTCATACCCTGAACATAGACCTCCAAATCATTCAGAATCAAAACCCAGAACAGAGACTCTCAAGATTCAGAGACCTCACATCCTAAACACAGATTAAGTATTCAGAGGCCTCATACTCTCAACACTCATCCTGTGTAACTCAGATTCAAACCCAGGGAGTCACAAATGGTAAATATTTGGGTAAATACAATAGACGGTTCTTCTGAGTTCTTTGGAATATGTTTGATGCTTGAAAGTAAAATGTATAACATTGTCTGATGGGGTTTTCAATGTATGCAGATGTAATACATAAGACAACTAGAGTGTGAGCAAGGGATGATTAAGAGGCCTATAAGGTAGCAAGATTTCTACATTCCAACTGAAATTACAAAATATTGAGTCTAAGTAGAATGTGGGGAGTTAAGCATGTATCTCCCTCTCTGTAAGGGAGATAGGAAAAATGCACCAGGGTGGCATTTGGCAGCAGTCATTCCTAGAATAACTACTAAAAGATCTACAGTTGGCCCTCTATATTTTCAGGTTCTGCATTCTCGAATTCTACCAACTGAGGATGAAAAATATTCAGAAAAAAAGCTCCAAAAAATGAAAAAAATAATATAAATCGGCCAGGTATGGTGGTTCACTCCTGTAATCTCAACACTTTGGGAGGCCAAGGTGGGCTGATCATCTGAGGTCAGGAGTTCCAGACCAGCCTAGCCAACACGGTGAAACCCCACCTCTGCTAAAAATACAAAAATTAGCCAGGCATGGTGGCGGGCGACTATAATCCCAGCTATTTGGGAGGCTGAGGCAGGTGAATTTCTTGAACCCAGGAGGTTGAGGTTGCAGTGAGCCAAGATTGTGCCATTGCTCTCCAGCCTGTTTGAAAAGACCAAGACTAACTCTTAAAAAAATAATAATAATACAAGTAAAAACAATACAGTATAACGACTATGTACATAGCATTTACATTGTAACAGGTACCCTAAAAATGTATACATCTATTATATATGAATAAAAATTAAATTAAAAAAGAAAAATAAATAAAAAATAATAATTTTACTACTTAAATTCCCTAGTGTCAATGTTTATCACTTATTTAAATCAATTTCCATTGACTGGAGACCATTATGTAATGTAATAAGCTTGAAAGACATGTGTGCTTTCTTCTGAAATTGCAAACATAGATGCACTTTATTGAAATAAAGTCTCCACAGCACTGTAAAAAGAAAAGGAATCCATGAGTCCATACTGATATAAATAAACAATTTAATAAGTAAATAAATGGAGAAGGGACAGATCTTCCTCATCAAACAATTTCAAATAATAAATGTAGAAGGAAGGAATGAAATAGAAAATCACTATTAGAACAGCATAGTAATAATTGCTCCAGGTAAGATCCATGGATTAATACTAAAATTAGATGCCTATACTTTAAGGAGGAAAGGGATATTTGCATTTCCTGAAAGTATTCCCCTTCAAATATGCATTAGTTACTGTAGAGATTTTAACATACATACAAAAATTTTTAAATATTCTTTCCTCCAGGAGGTGAAGCTTAACTCTCTTTCCCTTGGGTGTGAGCTAGACTTAGTGATATACTCCTAATGAATAGAATATGAAAAGGGGAAAATAGTAATTTTATAGTGGAGAAACTTGACATACATCATCTTAAATATGAATGTTAATACCACCAGTAAGAATTATCATGTTAACCCTCTGACATGATGTGATGAGAAGGATACTTTACCTCAACAGTATTCTTCCACAAAAGCCATTATCCTAGCCCAATCATGAGAATGTATTAAACCCAAATTGAGGGGCAGTCGAAAAATTACCTGACAAGCACTCTTCAAAATTGGTTACTGAGATTCCTCCAACTTTCTTCCTTTTCTTCAAAATTGTTTTAGCCATTCTAACTCCTTTGCTTTTCCTTATAAATTTTAGAATCAGCCTGTTTTATATGTACAAGAAGTCCTCCTAGGATTTTGATTAGTACTGTGTTAAATCTGTACATCAATTTGTCTTTACGATGTTGGGCTTTCAAATCATGAACACAACATGTATTTCCACTTATTTAGGTCCTCTTTGACTTTGTGGATCAGTGCCTTATAGCTTTCAGCACACAGATCCTGTACACATTTTGTGAGATTTATATCTAGGTACATAAATGTTATGACTGATTGTAAATGTTTTCTTAATTTCAGTTTCCAATTGTATGTTGTTTTCGTTTGTTTGTTTTTTTTGAGACAGAGGCTCATTTTGTAACCCAGGCTGGAGTGCAGTGTGGCAAGATCTCAGCTCATTGCAACCTCCGCCTCCCAGGTTCAAGCGATTCTCCTGCCTCAGCCTCCCAAGAAGCTAGGACTACAGGTGTGCACCACCATACCTGGTTAATTTTTGTATTTTTAGTGGAGATGGGGGTTTACCATGTTGGCCAGGCTGGTCTTGGACTCCTGGCCTCAAGTGATCTGCCCACCTTGACCTCCTTGTGCTGCCCACCTTGTGCTGGGATTACAGGCCTGAGCCACTGCACCCGGCCCCAATTTTATGTTGTTAATGTATAGAAATCCAATTTATTTTTGTGTGATGACCTTGTGTATTGCTGCCTTGCTAAACTTACTTATTGGTTCTAAGAAAGGTGTTTTTTGTTTTTTTTTTTTGGTAGATTTCTTGGGATTTTCTATGTAGACAATTATGTTGTCTGCAAATAGGACAATTTTTACTTCTACCTTTCCAATCTGAATGCCTTATATTTCATTTTTCTTGCCTTATTATGCTAGCTAAGACTCCCAGCACCATGTTAAACAGATGTGGTTAGAACAGAAATCCTTGTCTTGTTTCTGATTGTTAGAGGAAAGCATTCAGTCTTTCGCCATCAAATACAATGTTAGCTGTCAGTTTTTTGCAGATCTCTTTATAAATTGATAAAATTTTCTTCTAGTTCTACTTCGCCGAGGATTTTTTTTTTTTTTTTTTTTTTTTTTGAGACGGAGTTTCGCTCTTGTTACCCAGGCTGGAGTGCAATGGCGCGATCTCGGCTCACCGCAACCTCCGCCTCCTGGGCTCAGGCAATTCTCCTGCCTCAGCCTCCTGAGTAGCTGGGATTACAGGCGCGCGCCACCATGCCCAGCTAATTTTTTTGTATTTTTAGTAGAGACGGGGTTTCACCATGTTGACCAGGATGGTCTCGATCTCTCGACCTTGTGATCCACCCGTCTCGGCCTCCCAAAGTGCTGGGATTACAGGCTTGAGCCACCGCGCCCGGCCTCGCCGAGGATTTTTATCACAAATGGATGCTGCATTTTGTCAAATGCTTCTTCTGCACCAACTGATACCATATGATTTGTCTTTAGACTGTTAATATCAAAGATTAAATTGATTGGTTATTGAATATTGAATTCACACTGCATTCCTGGAATAAACTTCCTGTGGTTGTGCTGTATTATTCTTATTGCTGGATTAAATTTGCTAATATTTTATTGAGGATTCTTACATTTATATTAGGATTCTTAATCTTAAGAATCCCGCTTTTCTTTCCGTGCTGGTAGCGCTCACACAAAAATGGTGAACGTTCCTAAAACCTGCCGGACTTTCTGTAAGAAGTGTGGTAAGCACCAACCCCACAAAGTGACACTGTATGCCCAGGGAAAGCGGCGTTATGACAGGAAGCAGAGTGGCTATGGTGGGCAAACTAAGCCGATTTTCTGGAAAAAGGCTAAAACTACAAAGAAGATTGTGCTAAGGCTCGAGTGCGTTGAGCCCAACTGCAGATCTAAGAGAATGCTGGCTATTAAAAGATGCAAGCATTTTGAACTGGGAGGAGATAAGAAGAGAAAGGGCCAAGTGATCCAGTTCTAAGTGTCATCTTTTATGAAGACAATAAAATCTTGAGTTTATATTAAAAAAAAAAAATCCCAAATGTTTATGCATCTAATAACAGAGCCACAAAACACATGACAAGAAATGCACAAATCTATAATTACAGTCTGAGACTACAATATTTCTTACTTGATAATTGATAGAACATGTTGGCAGAAAATCAGCAAGGATACAATAGACAATAATCTGAAAGACACAAACCACCAAGGCTCACTCAGGAAGAAATAGGTAACCTGAATAACCCTTTATCTGAATAACCCTTTAAAGAAATTGAAACTGTAGCTTAAAAATGCTCCTACAAAGAAAATTCCAAGCCCAGATGGCATCACTGAAGAATTCTACCAAATATTTAAGGAAGAAAGAATACCAGTTCTACACAAAATCTTCCAAAATATTGAGGAGGAAAGAATACTTTCCTACTCATTCTATAAGGCCAGAATTGATTGATTCCAAACCTAGAAAAAGATATTAATAGAAAAGAAAAGTATAAATCAATATCCATCATAAATATACATGCAAAAATTCTAAACAAGATTTTAATGAGTTAAATCCAAAAATACATTAAAAGAATAATACATCATGACTGAATGGAATTTATTTCAGGAATGTAGGCTGGTTTAATACTTGAAAATGAATCAATAAAATTCACCATATTAACAGCTAAAAAAGAAAAAAACATATAATTACTTTAACAGATGCAGAATGTTGAAAACTTTTGCCCTATGATGAGGAACAAGACAGAGATTTCCACTTTCCCCAATTGTATTCAACATTGTAATGGAGGTTCTAGGTAGTGCAGTCAGGGAACAAAAGTAAGTAAAATACATGCAGGTTAGGAATAAAGTAAAATAGTCTATTCACAAATAACACAATTGTTTACATAGAAAACATGATAGAATCTAATTAAAACAATAAAAAGCTACTAAAACCAACAAGAGAGTTTAGCCAAGTTGCAGGATACAAGCTCATTATAAAGAATAAGTTGTGTTTCTGTCTACTAGCAACAAACAATAAAATGGAAATAAAAACAGTACCATTTACAATATCATAAAACATGAAAAACATAAAGGATAAACCTAACAAAAATGAAAAATCTGTACATTGAAAACTACAAAATATTTCTGAGAGAAATTAAGAACTGCATAATTGAAAAATACAAAAAAAGGAAAAAAAAGACCTACATAAATGAAGAGAGATATCTTGTTCATGGGTCTGAAGACTCAGTATTAAGATGTCAATTCTCCCCAAATTGATCTATAAATTTGGTGCATTCTCAATCAAAACTACTGATTTTTTTTTTTGGGAGGTGGGGGTAGAAACTGACAAGCTGATTCTATAATTCGTATGGAAATGCAAAGGACCAAGATTAGCCAAAATAGGATTTCAAGAGTTACTACAAAACTGTGTGACGGTAGTGTGACATTGGCATAAAGATAAACAAATAGATTAGCACAGCACAGAGAGTCCAGAAGTAAACTCACACATATACAAACAACTGATTTTTGGCAAAGGTATGCAGATAGAGACATGAGAACCAGCAAAAGCCAGTGTAACCAATGTACCCTCACTAATTAACTATGAGGGGATACATGCCTAAGAGGAGGCTTGCCAAAGAGAAAGAAGTCCAAAGTCAGATGAGCTTTCTAGCACAAATGAGAAGCCTGCACACCAACAGCGAAGACTGAAGTGACAAGCTCAACTATAAAATGGGGCTCAGTTGGCACAGAAAGGTGAACCTGGTGGCTTTTGTATAAGGAGAATGGGAAACTAGGGCTTCTCCTTCTGATGGTGGAGCTGTGAAGGACAGACTCTTCCTTCCTCTCCACTTGCTTCTGGTGAACTACTCGGAGATACTGACGCTAAGTAATAGCTATCTGATTAGATGTGAGCATGTGTGCAGCAACTGAATGGGCATATGTAGTATTTGAAGGAGTTCACAGATCATTGGAGTAACAATTTAAAATAACATACTTTGTCAATCCATTATCAAGATTTCCAGAAACTCTCCTTTGCAATCATGAGAATTTCCTTCATGTTTACCAGTTAGTTTAGAAAAAGCATCTCACAAAATGTTTATATTCATAATACTTATTCATGCACTTATTGTGGCCTACTGTGGGACAAAGGACACCAGAGAAAAGATCCTTCTCTGACTCACAGCCTCAGTCTCCAGCTCCAGTGGCCTTTGCAGTTTGCAAGCATGCTTCCAAGACTTAGCACACGATGTTCCTTCTTCTAGTTCTGCATTCTGCACATGTGGGCACCCACATCACATCACCTATTGTGGATGGTGCTCATAAGGTTGCTAAGCTTCTCCTTGAGCTGAGGGATTCAAAGGAACTACTAGATCCGCGGGTAGCACAAGGTGAAGAAGCATACATGTTTATGTTTATGATTCAGACTTAAACCAGAATCGGAAAGATACAGATTTAATTCCAGGCATACCTTGCCAGAGGGTGTGACATTAGGCAAGTTGTGCGTACTCTCAAACCCCTATTTCTTCATATAGGAATTTTTTCATGATGAATTGTTTAAGGAAGTGGACAGAAAATGATCCATGAGGATGTTTGCTGCAGCATAAATGATCATCTAAAATGATAAACATATAAAAACACATGCACTAAAATGACAAACAGAAGAGAGGTTTTTAATGAATGCTGGAATTCCAGAGTTGTTTCTTCATTCTCCTCTTTCTAATTTGGTGGATTTTTTTTATGAGCATGAATTATTTGAATAACAATGTTCAAACTTATTTTTTATCAAAAGTATAAATTCAAATACTAGTGTGGTGTTTTCGCCCATCAAATAGCAGAAGACAGTAGGACCGGTCAATTCTTAGTGATTGGATTATTTGTAAGGAGCAGATATAACCTGTGACATAAAATGAATACAATGAAAGTGACATCTAAAATCATCACAATGATACAAACAGGGGCTTGGGAGCACCTGCATAACTTTGATCAGAGTGCTTGCTTTGCACTAATGTTGCCTGAGGGTGAGGTTCTGGGGGAAGGGTCACGGTGCTGGGCAAATTGGGATTTCTTTTTCAGTTCAAATCAGCTCTCACACAAAAAGGACCTTACCTGTCCTCTCACTCCTTCACAGCATCCTAGAGAAACTTGATCCCATGCATAGAACACAGCAGCTGCCAACCGACAGGCACGTTAAGTCAAGGAGGCAGCAGGCTGCAGATAGCCTTTCTAAGTGATAACAGGGAACACCTAAGAGCTTTACCTGAGAAACAGGAAGCTGAGACTAGAGCCCACAGTTTATGCTGATTGCAGAGTGTGAGATCTCAGTCTCTCAATAAATCTTTATTTAATCCACATAAAGATTCGAGTAGTAGGAGCAGCTCCTGTTTAGATACAAAAAGTGGTTATCCCTGATTGGTGAGATCAAGGAAGAATTACATATTCTTCACATTTGGCTCTGTATTGACTCTACATCTTACCTGTAGGAGAGAGGGAAAGGAGAGGGAGATCTGGCAATTCTACTTCTGCCATGGGGGAATCTTTCTAACTCTCAAAGAATGTGCGCTTCTTTAAGGGTAACCTGCAGTCTGAGAACAGTCCAGGTCCAGGCATGCAAGGACAGAAAGGATATTTTTCCCCCAGGGGTTTAGCGGGGGCGGGAGGGGGTGGACAAGGATGTGCAGGGCAAGCTCCTTTCTGTCCTGCAGGCACCCATCTAACTTTGTTTGCCCAAAGCAGTAATAGTGGGCTTCTGTCCGCCCCCCCAACCTCCCCCCACACCTTCTCTGACAACAGAGGATCAGACTGCCTAGGTGATGGTAAAGTTTGACATGCACCGGGTGCAGGAGATCTATGATCCCTAGCACTGCATTTTATCTGCTGAGTTCCCCTTAGAGAGAACCATGCATCTTGGGAGCCCCAGAACATGTTGGCTGCACAAGAACTAAGCACACTACTGAGAGGAGGCTGCTGGTGTGGTAGCACTAGTGAACCTCTCTTTTCTTTTGAGATCATGTTGTACATACACAGTGCTACATAACCGGCTCTAAGGGGGTAAGGGGGGTTCTGGCTAAACCCACCTAGCAGGATTCTTGCTGACGACAGGCCAAGGGTAATCAGACATCAACTAGGGGATGGTGGAAGATGAGGAGCCCCATCAGATAGCAAGGATGATCAGATATTGAGGGTGGAGGGTTCATGCCACATTGACATAGCAGGGCTCTTTGCTAAAACTGGGTTTTACAAGGAACTGCACAGATGGGCCTAGGAGAAGTTTCAGAAGCCTGACTTAAAAGTCTGGCCAAGCAAAGACTATTTGTCAACATTCAAGACAGTTTCCTTAATATTAAAGTCGTAGAAGTAGAAATGCTGGGTCACAGGATTTTTTATTTTTTGAGACAGGGTCTTGCTCTGTTGCCCAGATTGGAGTGTAGTGGTGTGATCTTGGCTAACTGTAACCTCAACCTCCTGGGCTCAAGCTATCCTCCCACCTCAGCCTCCCAAGTAGCTGGGACTACAGATGTGCACCACCATGCCCAGCTAATTTTTGTTTTGTTTTGTTTTGTTTTGTTTTGTAGAGACAGGGTCTTGCCATGTTGCCCAGGATGGTCTCGAACTCCTGGGCTTAAGCCACCCACCCACCTCAGCATCCCAAAGTGCTGGGATTACAGGCGTGAGCTGCTGCACCTGGCCTGGATTTTCGTGCAAATGTTTAGGCTTATTTATGTATGTGGGTTTATCATCCTTCTTCTTTACATTTTTTTCTGGATTCCTGTCATGCTTAAAATGGCTTTGCACTCTCTGAGAACCTAAGCTTTCCACATCTTGGGGGAGACTGAATATTCTCTTGAGGGCCACTGAGGCAGCAGCACTGAGAAAAAATTGGAGGGTAAATTTGCAGGTGAAGTACAGAGCTGGGAACATTCCTAGACCGAGAAGGACAGAACGTTTTGCGGGAGGGGCGAGAAGCCAGAGACAAGCCCTTCCCAGCGGTGAGCAGGCCCTTCCTCCAGGTGGCACAGAGCCTCTAGGAGGCGGGAGAGGGATGGAAAGACAACCCACGTGGCACACCCCCGAGGTTTGGGATTGGCTGGTGGGGTTGAAATTGCTGAGGTTTAAGTAAGGAAGCAGAAGCAGGTAGGTGCTACTTCTCTTCCTTTCTTCATTCTTCCCCAGGCTCTCTGCTGACTCGGGTCAAGTGTAAGTGAGAGCAGGTGTGAGGGATCGAGCCAGAGGGCTTCGGGTGGGTCGGGCACTGTGGTTCCTAGCCTCAGAGAAGGAAGGGCCTCGAGGTCTTCATCCTTCTTCTTAGCAGGAGGTGATGCGGCAGGGCCGAGACAGGGGAAGAAGGAGGGCCGTGGAGGGGTGGAGGGTCAGCCAAGATGGTGTGAGTTTTGGAGGGGGACACTGTTTGAGTCCTGGAGGTATATGAAACTGCTCATAGAGGACAGATGCCAGAGTCCTCAGTGGGGACCAGGGAAGGGTGGGACGGCCCGTGTTTGTCAGCGCCCGCCTCAGGGTGCATGTTCACCGGGCATCTTCTCATCAGCCCCTTCGCCCACGAGGTGAACGCCGCAGAGCTGTGAGGGTGCTGTTCGCATTCCAGCGGTCGGGACTCTTTCAGCCGAGACTGAGAGTCAGTGGGTGGGTCCACCGATGGGTCCCCCTGGGAGTTTAAGTGTGAGGAGGAGCTGGTGGGCTTCAGGCGGGTCAGGCAGCACAGTCCGTGGCCTTGGCGGAGGAAGGGCCTCAAGGTCGTGATTCTTTTCCTCACAGGTGGTGGCGCCGCTGTGATCTTGTGATTGTGTAGCAGGGCCTGGGCGAGGGAGGAAGTTGGGCCACGGAAGGGAGAGGGATCAGATGGAGCAAAACTTGCGGGTACTTTCTGAGGTAGCTTTGAGTCCCAGAGGCACCTGCAACTGCCGACAGAGGACAAGTTTCTGAGTTCTCAGTGGGGACCTGGGGAGGAGGGGACCTGGGGTGGCTGTATGTTAAAAAAAATCTCTTTATAATGCAATTCAGTTATGAAATTAAGTTGCTTTAGGAAAGACCCAATTTTTTGATCTAGGACTTGAAGATCACTTCTCTGCCAAGTTGGCTGTGGAAGAAACAAAGCAGTTTGCAGATAGATTTATTTGATGTGATTGGAAACCAGGCATAGTTATTATTAACTCAGGACCTGTTATGGAAATCTAGCAAAATTAAAAAAAAATTACAATCAGCAGATGGCCATGGAAAGAGTCGAGTATAATTACTTCTTTTTATTGCAGTCTTCAGTTCACGATCTTCTAGTTGCAGCGATGAGTGCACGAGTGAGATCAAGATCCAGAGGAAGAGGAGATGGCCAGGAGGCTCCCGATGTGATTGCATTCACGGCTGTGAGTACCTTTCAGTATCTTATTTCCATTGGCAGAAATGTATTTTTCTGAAAGAAAATAAAAAACATTGTTGAGCCAATATAGATCTGTTATATAAAGGACTTCCCTGCTGAAAATGGTTGTAAACTAAGTCACATGAATGAGACATTGAGCAAGGAGACTTATTTTCTGGTATTGTCTGCATATGCATGTTGTTAAGAGTCTGGAAATAGTCCTTATGACTTTCCTATCAGGCTTATTAATAAATAATACAGCCCAGAAAAGATGAAAATGGGTTCCAGAATTATTGGTCCTTGCAGGTAACTTCTTAAAGTATTTTCTACATAGGAAGAATAACTTTTTCTTAAGAGTACTTACAGAAAGGATAGGAAAAACCTCTTCAGATATATTTGTGATCAGCTATCTTCACGTAGTATGTATATTTGTGACTTCTACTGGCATGATATTAATAACAATATTCTATTTGCATTTATTCTCCCCCACGTCCCCAAAGCCCCGTGAATCTCAGCAAGAGGAACCACCAGCTGAGAATGAGGATATTGAACCTGGACTAGAGAGAGAAGGAACACCTCCTATTGAAGGTGAGAAGGGCATAGAGGAGCATTTTGTATTTCATGTATGGTATTATACTAGTAACAGGAATAAATAAACCATCCCCTAAAAATAGGCTGGAAACCTGTAAGGTAATCCTTGGTAAGAGAACGGTGTAGTTTTCAGCTACCGTAGTCCTTCTGATAAGTTTTCTCTTCAGCATTTTACTTATCCTGTATCTTAAGAGTTCTTTGGCATACTTGGAAAATACAATCCTTGCCAAGATTCTATATTAGCAAACAAAAGGAAACTACATTAAATTTAGACAAAACTGTAAACTGTTTTATGAGTTAAACTTGTTTTTATTGGAATATTATTTTTCTGGGCACAAGTCATTGCATTAAAAGTTTGAGCAAACCTAGATAAATTATGGTTAGCTCTTACAGAGCAATTTTTAGAAAATGTCATAATTCAGAGAAATAAAAATGTAAAATCCTTTTAGTTGCCATTAAAAGTCTTCAATACTTTTGTCTTTCTGAACCATAATCTATTTATCATAATCATATATTCATTTTTAAGTCTTTACTTAGAAACGATTTAAAATGTAAGGAAAAGTTATCTAAATACAGTGAACTCCTGTATATTCTTCACCTTGATGCACTGATTGCTAGCATTTTGCCACTCATCTTTCTGTTTTTGCTATATCAATATATTATTGCTGAACCACTTGAGAGTAGTTTCAAATACCACAACTCTTTCCTCTGTAATTCAGTATGTATCTGCTAAAAATATGGATAATCTCTTAAAAACTTCAGAACAAGTATCAAATTCAGAAAATTAGCATTGAGGAAACAGCTAATGTATATAGCACATTGCAGTTTTGTCAATTTGTCTAGGAATGTCCTTTATAGGGTTTTTGTTTTTTGTTTTTTGTTTTTTTTTCCTGATCCAGGATCTAATGCAAACCACTCATTGCATTTAGTTGTCATATTGTGCTGAGGATATAAATGAAATGATTTCTGTCTTGAGCTCACAACCTAATCAGGGAAATTCATGTAAACAAATAATTGCTCTAATGAGTGATTTACCGTAACAGAAGTATATGAAGATTGTGAAAGTGACAACTAAGTTGTCTTAAACAGTTGTAGGAAAAGAAAACTTCATAGTAGAGATATTCTTCCCCATTTTCTAGCAGAAAATTTCAATTGTACTCATGCATCTCATGTATTAGAATACTGGCCCACAGAGCTTTATTTAATAACACTAATTTATGATTTACTGCTTACTTATATCAATAACTTTTTTATTTGTATAAGAACGTCAAGTGGAAGGTGATGGCCAGGAAATGAATCTGGAAAACGCTGGCAATGAGGATGGAGATGACTTTGCTGTAGAGGAGAAGACTCCACCTAATCCGGAGCATGCTGAGACTCCAGAAGCAGGTAAGTTATTCATTCAGAATGGAAGTCATGGAGTTACTCTTCTATAATATGCTTTAATAACAAATCTCACATACAAAGATTATTTGAAAGGTAGTTCAGATACCAGATATTTGATTCAAAGACAGTGTCAGGGAAAAAAATGAATTAGGTCAAAGCCATGTTGTTGAATTATAAAATATGAAAGTATTAGTATTATTACTTTGGAGTAGAAATCTTTCAAAACTCAAAGCAAGTGATCAAAAACTTTAAAAAGTATATACATTACTTAACATACCCCGGGGCAATTGGGTATCTAAACAACACATAGTGTCGCTTTTAAAAAAAAAATTGACTAGAATTGTTTATCACAAATCGCTTTTAGGCACTAACAGGTAAGATAGACCTGTATGTTTTGAATTTTCCAAGTTGGTTTGTTGTTGTTGTTGTTGTTTTTTTTAATTGTGAGCTAGACTAAGAAACAGTCGCATTTTCCATCACATTTTAATGTCATCTATATGGTAGTGGCTTAAATAAACCAGTATGACCATGTATTTATTTTCTTTTCTTTTTTTTTTTTAAGGGGCATATTTGGTCTCTAACCACGTAATTTTTATCATCTAAACCAGGACACTTTTGAGAGGGAAAGGGAATGCTATGAATACATCAGGTTAACAGGTGCCAATGAGACAAATGGCCACCCTGTTATAAAGAGTCCATGTGAAGATTCAACTAGATCGAAGAATTATTTTTGCACTTTTGCACAAAAGAGACAAACCAAATGGAATGCCATTCTTTGACCTCTCTTTAGTCAGTTAAACAATTCCTTAGCTAATATATAATTAGTAGAATGTTTTTAGTCAACATATTTCAGTGACACTATGTTTGCTTGCTTGTTTTTTGCTTCTTGGAGTTTTTGTTTGGTTAAAAACAAACAAACAAAAACAAACTGAAATCAGTGGCTGTTTTTGCCCTCTACTTAAAATTATCTTTAAATGGGCTCATAGCATTTAATCTGTTCTGGCTTGAGAAGTCTTGGTTTCCTCATACCACTCGAGTAATGCATTTTAAAAATGAGTACACATATGCCTGAAAATGTACCTTAGCATAGAAGTCTATGCAGGGTTAGGGTTCTGGTTTTAATTTCATCTAAAAAAACAAAACTAGTGTTCTTTGTGTGCTTTTAGTATCATCTTAGTAAAGTTCTGCTAAGTAATGGACTCAACTGTTATGTTTATATTTTAGGAGATGGGCAGCCATAAGTTAAAAAGAAGACAAGCTGAAGCTACACACATGGCTGATGTCACATTGAAAATGTGTCTGAAAATTTGAAAATTCAATAAAGTTTGAGTTTTCTCTGAAGAAGTCATGCGTGTCTTTTGTAAAATCTATTCCTAGGAAGCTGATACTATTGTAGATGGTATCTAGAAAAATTCTTGTGTTCTGTTTACAGCTGGTATGCATTTTTGTATACTGATTTTGTGTCAGGTGACGTTGCTAAACTTGCTTAATCTGTTGGTTTATCTCTACATCCTTTTGGATTTTCTCCATACATAATCATGCAACATGTAAATAATGATAATTCTGTTTTTTTTCTGTTGAAGCTTTATACTTTTATTTCTTGTCCTTATGACACTGGCCAGACCCCTCTAGTACAATGTTGATTAGAAGTGATGATGGGGTAAATTCTTGTCATATTCCTGATGTCAAGGAGGAAAACTTCAACATTTAACTATGATAGGTTTAAAAAATATATGTAGATTCCTTCTACAGGTTAAGTATAGCTAATACAAAGTCCTCCAAAATCTGAAACTTTTTGAGTGCCTCCACGATGCTCAAAGGAAGTGCTAATTTCAGATTTCAGATTCTCAGATTGTGGATATTGAACCAATAAGTATGTTGGAAGCACTCCAAAATCTGAAACAGCATTTCAGAGATGGTATACTCAACCTGTATTAGATTAAGGACATTTCAAAAAGATATTAGTTTTCTAAGAGCACTCCTCATGGGCTCTGGGGTGCTGCTGCCCAGTGCCAGCAGCCGCTTGGCACAGTAATTCCAGAGGTCCCTCAGCCCCATGCCTGACCCCCTCTCCCTGCTGGCAGCTCCACAGGCTTCCTTTCACTTCCACCTGCTGCCCACGCCGGGACACTGACAGGGCTTACGGGCCTTGGGACATGAGTACTTACCATGCTTACCATGAATATATGTTGAATTTTATCAAACACTTGGTCTGCATCTATTGAGGTGTAGGCCATTTCTCCATGAAACTGTTAACATAGCATTCCTAGAATAAGTCCAATTTGAGTTGTGATATATTGTTCTTTTATGTATTACTGGCTCCTTTTCCTAATGTTTTGTTTAGGATTTTTGAACTTTTGTTCATGAGACTGACCTATAATGTTTTAATACACGCTCCATTCAGGTCTTGGTATCAAGGGTATTCTAGCTTCCTAGTATGAGTTAGGATGCATATTCTCCTTTTACTTTTCTCATATGGTTACCTAACATTGGAATTCTTTCTTAAATGTTTGATAGAATTTGCCAGTGAAGCTATCTGGATCTGGAGTTCTGTTTGTAGGGAAGTTTAAAATTGAATCAATATCTTTAGTCAGATTGGGACTATTTCAATTTTCTATTTCTTCACTTTGGTTTTATTTTTCTAGGACTCGTGTCCATGTTATCTAAATTTTTGTAATACAAAATAGTCCATAGTATCCTCTTCTTATCCTCTTAATAATGCCTATTTTCTCTTGTATTCTTTCTTTTTTCTTCTTTTTTTGAGATGGAATTTCACTCTTCTTGCCCAGGCTGAAGTGCAGTGGCACAAGCTGTCTTGGCTCACTGCAACCTCTGCCTCCCAGGTTCAAGCAATTCTTCTGCCTCAGTCTCCTGAGTAGCTGGGATCACAAGCGCCTGCCACCATGCCCAGCTAATTTTTGTATTTTTTTTTTTTTTTTTAGTGGAGATGGAGTTTTGTTATGTTGGCCAGGCTTGTCTCGAACTCCTGACCTCAGGTGATCCACCCACCTCAGCCTCCCAAAGTGCTAGGATTACAGGTGTGAGCCACCATGCCCGGCCTCTCTTGTATTCTTGATCAATGTTAGGGTCTTTTCAAACTAAACTAACTTTTGACTTTTTGTTTTATATTTTGCTAATTTGGGCTCTCATGTTTATTCTTTTACTTTGTGTTTAATTTGCTGTTTTTAACTCCTTGAGATAGATATTTAGATCATTAATTTTCAGTCTTCTTTTTAATGTATACTTCATAAATTTCTCTCTATTGAGAGCCTTAGCTGCATTCCACAGGTTATGATATACACTATTTTTGTTATTTAACTCAATATTTTCTAATTCACATAATTTCTTTGAATGATAGATTACTTAGAAGTGTATTTCTTCCAAGCATTTGAACACTTTGTAGCTGTTGTTGTGTTACACAGCATAGATAACTGATAATATCTGTTTACAAAAGTTACATCCAAAATATAAAAATTTACAGAAGTTGAAAGTAAAAGGATGGACACAATATATTCTGCACAAAATAATTAAAATAGCCTTTAAGACAAATGAGCATTACTAGGGATAAAAAGGGGTATTTCATAAAGAAAAGGTTCAATTCACTAGGAAGATTTAATTTTAATTATGAGTGTAATGTGGCTTCAAAATATGCTGGGAAAATTGGCAGAATACGAGAAGATGTTGGTAACTGAGAGAACAAGCAGACAAAAAGCAGTAAGGAGGTGGGTTCTTCCCTACTGGAAAACTAAGCACTTGGCTTTGTCTGCCTTTAAGGTAGCCTAGCACTGATTCCTCCCCTGAGGAGGGGATGTGGAGCAGACCCGATAGAGGGTTCCTGGTCTTTCGGGTTTAACTCCTCCCAGTCCATCACCAGGTATGGGAACTGCTATAGGTTTGCAAGGAAATCTAGTACAACCTGGATATCATTTTTAGTTTCTGCATGTGCCATCTGGGGGCTAGAGAGAGGTGGCAGATGGAAGCGAAGGGCTGGGTGCCCTTAATAAACCCAGTGTGTCATGACAGCAAGGAACTAGTTTTAGAGATTCATTGCAAGCCAAAAAGGGTTTATTGAAAGGATGCTGGACTGCTTCTAGATTACTCAGGAAGGGCGGGGCCCAGGGTGACTCTTAGCTGTATGGGAACCAGGCATCCTCCTTTCAAGGGCTCCTGATTCTTGAGGACCAACTCCTGCTGCTAGCCCTAGGAGGCCTCCCGGTCCTCTCCGTGGAGGAAGACGTCAGGTGGAGGGTTGATGTCCAGTGTCGAGCAAGGAGAATGTTGCTATAGGGTGTAGTCAGGCAGCACAGCTGCACAAGCCATGGCCAGCCACCACCAGGACTTGGGGACTGGGCTCTTCCTAGAATACTCTCTCTCTTCCTATCTATGTCCTGATGCCTGCCATGGGCTGCACTCTCTGGGACCAGCAGCTACAGCCTGACACCCCCGAGCCATGCCCAAGATCTGAGCCACTTGCTCTGGGCACACTACTCATGGGCTTTGGGATGCTGCTGCCCAGTGCCAGCAGCCTCGTGGCACAGGGATTCCCAGAGACCTCTCAGCCCCATGCCCGACACCCTCTCCCTGCTGGCAGCTCCTTCCACTTCCACGGGCTTCCTTCCACTTCCACTTGCTGCCCACCCAGTGATGCTGCCGGGGCTTAAGGATCTTGGGACCGTGTCATGTAGTTTAAGCCCCCTCTCAGCTGTAGGAGAGGTACCAGCTGTAGGGATGGTTTTGTCATGCCTCTTCTCTCCAGCTGGCCTTAGAGAGAAGAGCTGAATTGTGCCTCCAGGCTGCTCAGTGTCTGCTGGCCCAAGAGGACAGCTGCCAAGCTGTCAACCCACCCATGGCCTTAGGAGCCCAGGGGGAGACAAGGAGCAGGCCCAGACTCTGCAGAGCGCTGATAAGATGGGCCAGGGACGCATCTCTCCACGTCCAGTGGCCTTGGGAGCCACAACCCCTCTGGATCTGGGGGCCAGGACTGCCAAGAACTGCAGCTGGAGCTTCCTTCTTTTCAGGAGGGGCAGGACCTGGGGTGGCAGGGAAAACTGGGACAGGGCTGGAGGCAGGCTCGGCCGCTGACATGATGGCCTGTCATGGCTTCTGCCTGCACTCCTCAGGCAGGCTCCTTGGAGGGGACATTTCATGGCCTCAGAAACATGTCTGGACATGGCACCTGCTTGACCCCCAGCCCTGTAGTGGCTGGGGGAAGCCTGCATGGATGAGGGGAAGAATAAGGGAGGAAGGTCAGAGCTGTACAAGGGGATGCAAAACCTGTACTCCACGACCACTGTGTGAGGCACAATGTACTATCCCAGAAGCCTTTGCTGAAGTGCAGTGGACAGTACCCTGGATGGGGGTCAAAAGAACTGAGTTGGCTTTTAGTTCTCCTTCTGAAAAGCTTTGCATAATGACATGTAGATGATCTTTGAGTCTCAGCTTTGTTGCTTGTAAAATGCAAATAATTCCTCCCTCCCAAGGATTCTATATAGACTGAGATAGAAAGTGTGAATGTGCAAAGTAAACAGCTAGGCCTGTCCTAAAGGCACTGTGAATGTTGGTTGCATCCAAATCTGATTTTTGTCTGGGACCAGGGTTAGGGGCCTGAATACACCAGAGGTGAGGGCCAGCCTCCCTGAGAACCATCAACAAACTTACCCCACATCCCGTTATACCTCCTCACCCCCTGCAGCCTGTCAGCTTCCCCCATCTCCCACACTGTCACCTGGGGCTGTGGTGCACCAGAGGACACTACTTGCTCCCTGGTACACAGGTGAGTGCAGCCAGAGTCATACCCAAGGCCTATAAATGAGGTCCACAGGCAAGAGCCATCCCAGCCCACATCTGGTGCCCAAGATGCAATACTAAGTAGGAAAAGCACTGTAGAACAGTATGTGGATATGGTCTTGTTTATGTGTGTGTGTAAGATATAGGTATAAAATATGCTTGCATATTCATAGGAAATTTATGGAAGAATACACAAAAATTGTTAACAATGGTTATTACTAGTTTTACAGGGATGATAAACAGGGAGGGGTGAGGACTGTATTTTTACTAATCATTATCCTTTGAATATTTTTGCCATGAATGTGTGCTACTTTTATAATTTAAAAACCCTTAAAATCAAAAGATATAGATAATAATATGTAGATATAGATAGGTGATTGATGTACAATAGTGGTAGCTAAATGATATAAAATAGCTAAAAGCTAAACCATTCAGGTATCTCTGTGCATTGGTTTCCTCACATGAAATGGTACCTGTTTCATAGGATTATTGTGGAGATTAAATGACTTCATACATTTAAGTCCTTGGAACAGTGCCTGGCACACTGTAAGTGTTCA